TGAAACAAAATCTCTCTTCTTTCCCACTTCATCTCCTTTCTCTTGTAGCAACCACTGAACAGCTTCTTGTGTGTCTTTCAAAAATTTTTCTATGTATGTAGGAACAAAGATATTGTAGGTATATCTTTGCTTCAAAACACCATTAGAATTTTACCAAGTGTATGCTCTGCCTTGTATGTTCATGTTTTAACCTAATAACGTAACTTAGAGAATATGGCATATCAGCACATCTAGACCTATCTTACACTTTTTAGTGGCTGCATTGTATTCCACTGAGTAGATGAGCCATGATTGAATAGGTTTACCACGGTACACCTATCCAATCTTTATTGGTGGGCATTGATGGTTTCTAATAGATTGCTATTACAAATAATACTGCAATCAACATCCTGTATGTCCACCTTTGAGCACCAGTGCAATCAGTTCTTTAAAGTAGAATATTTATATCAAAGTGTAGCCATTTAAATTTTTGATAGAGGTTGCAAAATACGCCATATATCTTAATGGAAGGTGCTATCTCATTCTCAGACTTGCACGTTCTCAAGAAGCTTCTCAGCAAAGCCTAGCGGCTCTTACAATGCTGCACCTCATCAGACAGAAGCAGGCTCAGACCAATTTATCAACAATTATTAGATACAGTTGCTATCTCTCACCGCCTTTCTTCAGAACTCAGGTTCTCTGATGTTTTGAGAGTAGATATTATACAGGCATACCTCATTTCATTGTGCTTCGCTTCATTGCACAACACAGGTGTTGCATTTTTTACCAACTGAAGGTAAGACCTGCCACCAGCAAAAAGAATACAATTTGCTTTTCTGGGATACTTGCTTTCTTGTGGTGGCCTGGAGCCAAACTCGCGATATCTTCGAGGTTTGCCTGGAGTTAATGAGTGTGGTATTTAAAAAATTCTTTCCTCTAAGTAATTCTAGTTTCTGTTCCATGGCAGTTAAACTCCATATGTTTTAGGATGCCTTTGGAATTTAAATTTTATGAGTTCTTTTCTTGAATTTTGGCTTTGTTTTAGAGATTGGCTTTTGAGTTTACTAAGGTAAAAGCTATTTTTGAAAAACCTGGCTCAAAGAAGCATTAACTAGATTATGTCCATTTCAAAACCTGAAATGAAATCAGCATATTTTAAAGTCTTTGAATTTCTTGATTCACTGCAATTACGTGAATTAACTTGCTTTCAGAATAGTCATTTATCACAGGAATCTCCAAGGGCTTTCCCAGGAAAAGGTAAAATCAAAGTATGTTTGTGCCGAGTCTGTGGAGCTAAGTGTCATTGTTACGGCCCAGGAGGCCGTCCTGTGTCCCCCTCGCAGAGTTATGATGCAAACTTGCTTTAAACACTAGCCGAGCCCTGAGAACAGCTGCACCACACATGGAGAGCCAGGGAGTGCCTGTTTTCATTGTTTCAGGATGATGACGACATGCAATCACTATACAGACTAAAATCTTAGAAGAAGCCTAGAAATATTTTGAAGATGAGCTTTAAAGTAAGTCTTCCTGTCTGCCCCTCCAGTCCTGCTGGTGTGTCTTTTATGTCATCAGTGGTGATGGTAGTGGATAGGACAAGCAAAATGGTGGAATTTAAAATATAGATGATTTAAATGCATTTGCAGGTCTTCATCAGTTTATATTTGTTCAGTAAGTTTGGCTACTTCTTAGCTATGACCCTTAGTGCTCATTGAATTATATCTCTGAAGTTCTTGTTAAGTACAGTTATAATTACTTGGTAAGATAGAAGAGGAAATAACTTTAAAAAAAAACAAAAAAAACCTCTCCTCTGATTGTATGATACAGATTGATTGTTCTACAGGTATATATTCAAATAAAGGGTTGAACCAAGGTATCACACACCCCTATGGTTTACCAATATCTCCAGGCCCTATTTCTTCAAAACTCTAATTACATCTGTAGAGTGTTACTTTCTCCTCTCTAAAATAATTTATTTTGTACGCCTTCCTTTTACTCTTCATTCAGTTTCTGGTAACTAACTCCTTCAAGTCCTGTGATGGCGCTCTATAATAATCTTATGATATGGTTATGCTCTCTTCTTGGTAGGATGCATCCACAAATACAACAAATGTGTCTATGTGTTCATTGTGTAAGTTATTGATGAAGTATTGGATTGTCGGAAAAGTCATGATGTATTTTTTCTATGTTTTTCATTGCAAAAATGCATCATGACTTTTCCGAGAACCCAATAGTTAAATTGGTGCTAGGGTCAGGGTCAACAGCTAAGGAATATTCCTTGCTGTTTCTTTCCAGATTGCTAGTTAGTTTTGAATGGTATTTCTTTGGGGAAATTTCTCCCATGGTTGTATACCCTCACAAACAATGTTTTGTTTCAAGCTCAGAAAAAATTTGTCTGCCTGTATTGTTGCTTGGTGAAGGTTCTCCACAGCCTATAGTCCACACAGGTGATAGTGTGTCCCATGGAATTTGTATATACACATACTGGAAAGTTTTTAGAGATCTCAGATATTGTTAATCATAAGACTTTGGAGATAAAATATTTGGAGTACTTATTTTTAGGGGAGAACTTTCCATTGGGACAGGTGGAAAGGAGTATAGGTGACCAAGGGTAGAGCTGGTGTTGGAAGATGTCTGGAATAACAAAAGGGCTCTTTGGGAAGAGGAGCTTGGAGATACTGTTAGGAATATGTCCTGGGAAGAGAGCAAGCAGTTGGCAAGAGAGAAAAAGAAAGAGAGCTGGAATGAAATAAAGTAAGGGAGCCTGTGCTCATATACGGTTATAGGTATTTTTTCTGCTTTCTTGGTCTATCGAATGATATGAGCAGATTAATTGTTAGATCTTAGCAAAGCCTGGTCAAATGAATTATTTGAGTATTTTTCTGCTTTTGGAAATATTTAATAAGTTAGGAAGTAGAGGTTAAAAGACAAGTAGGGGTACAGTTGAGTAGGAGGGAAATGGGCGTGAGGATTTGGCACAAGGAAAGGTATTTTGCTCAGCTTTACCACTCCTCTGTACGGTTCTGGTAGGACTTCGTGTTTATCAGATCAGGTTGTTCCTATCAGGGAGTCTTTGCATGCTCTGGGGTTTTGCAAATTTTTTTTTCAAGAGATTTTGGTCTAGTATTTTCCTAAGTGTAGCAGTTAATTCAAGTAATTCCCATGGATAACATCACACCTTTAAACACACCTTTTCAAATGCTTTGGTTTTATAAGGGGAAATATGGTACTGAACTGGAGAAAAAGAAGTTAAAGAGAGTTTAAATAGGAAAATTCAGATTTTGGTTTGTTCCCCTAAAGAGTGGCTCTTGTCACTTTTCTGTGCAAACTTAACTGTCAAATGTGCATTTTGAAATGTGTAAGAGCTCCTGTATTCCCTTTTTACTTTGGTTGATTTTCAATTTGGATGGAAGAGGTAGGGTGTGGCCCTTCCTAGAGCTTATAGTGTACAGGTAGGAGGAAGATGAGTTTGTAAATGAAACTTAATATCATCTCAGCTTCATGAAAGAGATGCACTTTCATAGACACTTCAGGGCAATTCAGTAGCAGTGCAATTTCCATAAATAACGGCATGGTCTCCATCTCAGTTGCTTCACATCAACTTTTATCTGAGATACTGTCCCCTGAGAAATGTTCCTAGCACTCCAAAGGAGGTATTCCCAGAAGAAATAAACCAGCACACAATCCATACCTGTAAACATAAATAAAATGAGATTTAGAAGGCTTCCTAGGTTCTCCTGTTGTCGTTGAACTAGATAAAGTGCAGGAAAGCATGGCTTTGGAAAAATGATTGAGCTCTGGCTAGAGATGAAAATGCTGCAGTTGAAAACTTTCCAGAACAACATGTACTTGGACCCATATTAAAGAAAAAATTTTTGAGTATTTAAGCCAAATGACCCAGCAGGGTTGATAGTGTGAGGCATATTTCACAGTTGTATAAATATTTAAAACTGTTTTCCAGCCTATAAAACAAGTAAATTAGGTTGTTTTTAAAAACTGCATAATGAAATTAACCTGCCCACCTTAACTTGGGGAATCTGCTCTACAACTTGTTGGGGAATCAACCCTACTCATCCCTGGCTTTCTTTCCTAAAAGGGAATCACTGAAAAAGATGTGTGATGCAGCCTTCCAACTTGGAAAACAAAGCTGGTTTATAGAATACCAGAAGGCATGATTAAATCACGTTATACCACCACAGGTGGTCTGTTTTCAGATGGCCTGCCTTCCTAGCCATTCACTAGAGGCCCAACCAACTAGATACAATAAGCTTTTCATCATAAACCCCTTTGTGAAGGGTAGACTCAGGGCTTCACTGTATACATGAGTGTCAAAGAAAGCAGTGCAGCTTCTTGGCTGTGTCCTCAATTCTGAGCTGTTGGCCCCAGCCATTAGAATGCCACCAACTCCGTCCTTAGCCACAGGGCTGAGGAGGATTTGTAGGTGGTCATTTTCATTAAATATTCCAAGTTTTCTTTTATCACTCATTGTTGTTCTTGCCCTTTCCAAAATTTATTCTTTTCCTCTTCATTGCATTTTAGCTATTGCCCCGAACCACTCTCCCTTGCCTCTGCCCCCTCCCTCACTTCTTGCCTTCAGTTAAACAGACTTTTGACACAATGGCAGTGATGTTTCTACATTTATTCATAACAGAGTTTGCCAAGAATGTCAACGACTGGATTTAATGTTCTGGGAAAGGAAATGCAAGTGAGAGTTAATAGCTACTATATAAAGTTGACATTATGGAGTGCTGGAAAGAACACAGCTAAGAGTCAGCCATCTTGAGTTTAGCCCCAAGGATAATACTAAAGCCCTCGGTATTCTTGGGCAAATCACTTGAGTTCTCTGGGCCTTAGTTCCCACATCACTTAGGTAAAAGATTTTGTTATGTAAGGGCCTTTGAATGTGGCATTCTAGAAAAATATTATCTGCTTCTTTTGTCATGTGAATATGATGGTCCATTGTAAATACATCCCCTTGATTCTTCTATGTTCCTGAAAATAATTAATTTTGTTTTTGTTCTTAGACTGCAGAATGAAAAATGGATGAATGTCAAAGTGGGAGACATCATTAAATTAGAAAATAACCAATTTGTTGCCGTGAGTATTTAGTATTGTTTAAAGAATTTATCTCGTATTAAAATAGCATATGTACTGCAGTATTTACATTTGAAAATTTAATAAATCTGTACTAATTCAGAGTAATTAAGGAGGGAATACCAGGATGTATTTGTAAACAATATAAAATGTTTTAATTAAATGTCTCAATTATAAAAATTTTTAAAAGATATATTGATTAATTACTTTCAATAACATGGTAACTCAGATAAGGCTGAGTGATTATCACCTTGTCTATTTCCTTTGGGATTTTGGTTAAATTAATAGATACAAAAGATTTTCCAACTTTTGATGTAAATAAGAGCTTTTGAAATGCTCCAGAGTACTTTAAAAACAGTTTGTTCCCATATAATTTGAATACTATTTCTCAATAATGGAATTAATTCTGTAATTTGAAGGATATTTGAAGAAAAGATAAGCTAGAGAAGGAGAAAATGTATGCTCCTCCCTAAATAATCACAATCAGAAAATTTCTATTGATTTTTTTTGAAATAATAAAATGCTGTTTATGAGGTTTTGCTTTGTATATAAAATGAAAGGGCTAGAAAGATTAATTTGACTTAAACTCCAGTCCTGAGAAGGACAGGCTTTGGTTCTCTCTCGGCAGGCACATCAGGGTGTCTCATCTAGCCTTTATCAGCACCTTTCTTGGACATCCTTCCAGAGAGGGCATTTTGTGCTCAATTTCCCTCTTTGTTATTTTCAGTTTTATAGCTTCAAGTCAGAGTTATTTGTTGTAGTCTAATTTCTGTAAATAAATCATCCTTTAAAAAATATGTGAGACAATAGAAAGTTGGGAATTCTCAGAGAAAAAATTTTTTAAACGTATTTATCTGAACTGTATTGCAGTGGAAGCTTTTTGCTAAAGTGTAGATGTGCAGCACACTATTTTCTACATGGAAAAAAGTAAATGGCCAGTGATTCCTGTTTATAAGCAATTACTGATTTGTGGGTGTGAAATATATGGGCAAGGGTTTTTTAACCAAAGTGAGGGCGTATCCATGAGTAGATGATTACGGCAGCCATTATTATTTTCCTCCATTCCTTCTCTTCTTTTTCACTACCTTTTACTTAACGTTCTCAAATAAATTTAATTCTAAAAAGCAAAAATAATGCTATATCTAGTACATATTAGTATTCAATATGTATCTTTATGTGTTTTTTGGATGTGAAATTTAAATTTTAAATAAAAATATTGCCTATAATCTTATACATTTTTATTTTCATGACTTTATTCTGATTTTTGTCCATATCGACACATTTTCCTCTAAGTATACTCATACTGCATGAGCTATTTTGGATTTTTATTTTTGGACTACAAAAAAGAAAGATAACATTATAGATGATAAAGAAGATAAAGGACTCCAAGTGTGAGAATAGCTGAAAGAAATAAAAGGAGATCCAAATACAGTGTTCCAACAAATTCTACAAATTTATCTTCCCTCGAGGTTATGGAGCCACTATCCTGATATTCTTTCAGCATTGTAGTTTTGGTTTTTGAACACCAAGAAAGCAAATCAAAACAAAGCAAAATGCTTTCTGTTTCTTATAGTTGTGTAGTCCAGTGATTCTGCAGTCAACCAGAGGAAAGAGTATGTATTTGGGGGTCAGAGTTCTGAATTCTAGTTTCAGCTCTGCCCTTTAAGTGCTGTGTGGCCATGAGTGTCGTGTTAAATCTTTTGGAGCTATGGGTTCCTCAATTAGATGTGAAGAAGCTCTCACCATGACTTTGTAAAGCTTATGGACTTTACATGAATCAATTTAGCTCATCTAGTGCTTGTGGGGCCAGGGATGAGCTTTACAGGTTTCTTATTCATTCAATGAGAACAGTATTGCCCCCGCACAGGGTTGTTGAGAAAATAGTGACACAATTATGCAAAGGTGTTTTGTAAACCCTTAAAGAATTATACAGCTTATAGGTGTTATCATTGCTTGAGGTTTCCCTTCATTTAAACTTTAATTCAACAAACATTAATTATGTCTAATAAACCTATCAGAGCCATGTTGTTGGCTCTGAGGACTGAAAGAAGTTCAGTGGATTCTTTTCAACTTTCCTCTGATTGGAGTATTTGTTTCACATATCCATAAGGCAGATGCTTGGGCTTGTTTTGTTGCTGTGGAAGGTGGGGAGAGGGCATTGTATTGGGAAACACTGCTTCATTCTTGGGAGATATAGTTGAGCCTCTCCTGGCAGGGTATGGGAAAAGGCACCAATAATTGAGAGAAGAACATACAAATGGTGGTCTAAGGTAGATGGCTCTGGTTGGAATTAATGACATTTGCCTAGCTGTGAGTTCCAAAAATCATGCTTTTCCTTCCCTAAGTAATAAATAGGTTTGCATTATCAAGGCTCTTCCTCATCTATAGATGAAAAGAGTCAAAGAAACCTGTTGAGGCAGAAGTTTTTTTCTGACTTGTGATAATGTAACCTAAGCAGACACACTATAGAGGGAATATGTGAAGCGTATATGCCACTCTTTAGCCCAAATTACCCATCTTGACTTTAAATGGAAAAAGTATTTTTGAAAATTCCCCTTGCTCTTATTTCTCATATTTACATTTCAATGAATATGATAGCAATAGAGCTTCATGCTCTTTGGGTCTGTGCCTCTCCTTCCCTGAGCTTCAAAGGATCATTTTAAACAAAATCCAAAATTCTCTAGTTGTAATCATCAGTAATTGAAAATAGTTATGAAATATAGAGAAAGATGCCTGTTTGTACTTCGAGTTGCTTTTCTTCTAAAACTCGGCTTTCACAGTTTACACAAAACACACACACGCATACACACATACCACCATCTATTTTTGAGTTGGAGATTTAAAAGCTTGAGACACTGAAAGGAGTGGATTGATTTTTAAATTTAAGTTTCAGGATGTGAGAATGGTGCAATTCTAATATTTTTAAAAACAAAGGTAAGAAAATTTCACATATTTGGAATGTCAATTGTACATTCAGATGTAGGTAGAAAATTTTGGGCTAGTGTGTCAAAATATATTGGTAAAATTTTAGTCAATTCTTTGTAGACACTCAAATCCTTCAGAATTTCATAAAAACCCTTATTTTATTTATTATTATTTATTTTTTATTAAAGTATAGTTGACATGCAATATTATATTAGTTTCAGGTGTCTAACAAAGTGATTCTAAATTTATTTACCTTATGATGTGATCACCACAATATGTCTAGTAAACATCTGTCACTGAGAAAGGTTATTAAGATATTATTGATTATATTCCCTGTGCAGTACATTACATCCCTGTGACATTTATTTTATAACTGGAAGTTTGTACTTCTTTTCTCCTTTCAATTTTTTCACCCATCTCTTCATTCCCCTCCCCTCTGGCACCATCAGTTTGTTCTCTGTAACTATGAGCCTGTTTCTGTCTTGTTTTGCTTATTGATTTTGTTTTATATTCCACATATAAGTGAAATCATATGGTATTTGTCTTTTTCTGTCTGACTTATTTCGCTTAGCATAATATTCTGTGGGTCCATCCGTATTGTCACAAAAGGCAAGATTTCATTCTTTTTTTATTGCTGAATAATATTCCACTGTGTGTGTGTGTGTGTGTGTGTGTGTGTGTGTGTATCACATCTTCTTTATCCATTCATCTATTGATGGACCAGCAATTTCACTTCTGGGCATTTATCCAAAGAAAACAAAAACATTAAACACATTCAAAAAGATATATGCACCCATTTGCAAATAATATTGTATAATAGCATTATGTAAAATAACCAAGATGTGAAAGCAAAATTCTTATTTTAAGATAAAATTTGAAATTTGAAATAAAATGTCAGCTTCCCAATATAGAAAGCTACCAGAATTCTAAAACTGAATTGTCATAGGTCATTTCCAACACACAAATGGATTTAGCTCTGTGAGAGACCACAACTACTCAGTCTCTCAATGTTTTTCCACTGTCTTTTACCACATTTCCTGTTCTTTCTTGCCCACTTGCCTAGTCCCTGCTTTATTTTCTCTTTTCTCTTCCTTACACACCACCATCTTTTTCTTTTTTCTAAATTCTATGCTTTGTTTTTCTTTTAACTTTTCTCTTTTAAATATTTCCTTTTCTCTCTTATTTTTTTCTATTGTTTTCAAATTCCTCCTACTTCACATCTGTCTTTCCCCATCTTTTTGCCTGCCCCCTGCTCTAAACTGCTAATACAAAGGAATTAAAATATGTGTATATGAATATGTCCATTTATCTTATTTATTTGGGAAAGTTTTATATTTTCCATTAGTAATTATCAAAGCAAGAAAATAGAATTTTATATACTTCTTGCAAAGAAAGCAAATTTATTTTTATAATAAAGTTATAAAAGTTTATTGCCCTAACTTATACTTTGGTGGTCAAGGGTGAGCAAAACAGGAACCGGTAAGTAGAGGGAGGGTTTGATCCAGGGAATATGACAGGTGGAATAGGATTTTACCTCTCTCACTTTTTCCCTAAGTTTCTCCTGACTTATTAGTAGTGGAGGGGTGATACAATATAGGAGGCTTCTTACCAATCTTCCGTTATAAGTGTTCTTTATTCTGATTTTTAAAAATAGGCTGATCTGCTTCTCCTATCAAGCAGTGAGCCGCATGGCCTGTGTTATATTGAAACTGCTGAGCTCGATGGGTAAGTTATTAAAGTTAGAATAATTAATTAGGTTGTTTTTGAAAATATCTAAGACTAATACCTTTAGGGATAGAATTAAAATATTAAACTTTATTCTTCATTTTATTTTCTTGGAAGAAATAGGAGTCTAAATTAAAAGGCCAATTTGCTAATTACTTTGTAGCTCTTTTGAAAACTCTTTTCTCTTGAATATATTTTCTTTCAGAAACAGTGAGCCAAACATGTCTATGGACTAATTCTACACAGGGACTCTTCACTGAGATTCTTTAGAACGGTTCTTTTTGGATTTGTTCGTTTTTAATTTCAAGTGATTCTCTAAGAAAAATGAGAGGAGCAGTGATCAAGATCTCCTGAGGAAAAAAGGGCCAATGTTACTTTAGAAGGCAACCTTTAGAAACTGGGTCAAATGAAGACATGAAAAGAGATGAGAGAAATAGAGTATGATGCAATTTTGACATTGATGTTAATTTTGAATTTAGTTCTAGAATTTGGTTCTGTTTCAGTGGATTCAATGTGTCTGTCTAGCATAAAAACATTTATTGAATGCTTACATTTAAAAAAATAATTTTCATTAAATTTATTGGGGTGACATGGGTTAGTAAAATTATATAGGTTTCAAGTGTACAATTCCAGAATGCATCATCTATATAAACTTTTCAGGGATCATTTCTATAGTTTGAATGCTTACATTTTAAAGATACCATAAATGTTTTGTAGATGGAATTTATCATTTATTCCTAAAGTAGGTACTAAATAAGCCCCATTGTACAGTGAGAAAACCAAGTCTTAGAAAGAATAAGTAATTTGTCCCAAACCTCTAAAGAGTGAGGCCAGAACTCAACCTGGCAGCCTGACAAAAGAACCCATCATTTTAACCACTGCCTCCCAAGTCATTGTCATATCGAGCCATTCAATTAGTTTGGCCTCAGTGATCCTACCCCTGGTTTGGGCAGAAGCTACAGTTGTGCTGAGAGGAAAATTTATAGCGATAAATACATACACTTGAAAAGAAAAAAAGTCTCATATTAATAATCTAATCTCTCATCTCAAGAATCTAGAAAATAGCAAAATAAATCCAAAGCTACCACTAGCAGAAAGAAGGAGAGGACAACAAGAGCAGAAAACAGTGAACTTGAAAACAGAAAAACAATAGAGGCAATCAATGAAACAAAGAGCTGGCTCTTTGAAAACATCAATAAAATTGACAAACCTTTAGAAGACTGAAAAATAAAAAAAGAGAAGACACAAATTAACAATATCATGAATGAGCCAGGGGGTATTATGACAGAGCCTACAGACACCAGAAGGAGAAGGAAATACTACAAAGAACTCTACACATATAAATTTAGCAACATAGATGAATGGACCACTTCATTAAAAAACAACTCATCCAATATGAAATAGATGATTTGAATAGCCCTATAATTTTTAAAGAAATTGAATTCAATTGTAAAACATAAAACTAAAACTTTTAGAGAAAAACATAAGAGAAAATCTTCAAGATCTAAGACAACTCAAAGAGCTCTTAGACTTGACACAAAATTCATGGTTCATAAAAGAAAAATTTGATAAATTGTACTTTATAAAATTAAAAGTTTTGGCTGTACAAAAACCTTGTTAAGAGGATGAAAAGATAAGCTGCAGACTTGGAGAAAATATTTGCAAACCATCTATCTGACAAAGGACTTGTATCTTGAATGTATGAAAAATACTCCAAAATCAATAGTAAAAAAACCAAACAAATTTAATTAGAAAATTGGCAAATGATATGAAGGAACATTTCATCAGAGATGACATACGGATGGTAAATAAGCACATGGAAAAAATATTCAACATCATTAGCCCTTAGGGCAGCGGTTCTCCACCTTTCACAGGGGTCACCTAAGACCATTGGAAAACACATATTTTTGATGGTCTTAGGAATCGAGGCACCGCTCCTCTATCCGTCTCCAGGCCCACATGCAGATATGCCCACATATGAGTACCGGGCGACCCCTATGAAAGGGTCGCTTGACCCCCAAAGGGGTCGCGACCCACAGGTTGAGAACTGCTGCCTTAGGGAAATTAAAATTAAAACCACAATAAGATAATCACCACATAGCTACCACAGATGTCAGCAAACTGTGGCTCGCGAGCCACATGCAGCTCTTTGGGTACGTGCCATCTCAGAACTTTGCCTACCCCTGGAAGAGCCAATCCTGTCCCTCACAACAATTTAAAAATTATTCAAGAGCCATAAATATATTTTTACATAATCACCATTATGTGAATAATATTCTTTAAAAATGTTATGAATGAAATTATGATAGTTTTATTTTCATTTTCAATTTTACTTCAGAGCCTGAGGCTTGTAAGCTGCAGTTTGCTGACCCCTGGCAGCCCTTCCATCTCAAAAGTTTGCTGACCCCTGATCTATAAGAATGGCTCAAATAAAAGATAGTGATAACTCCAAATGCTGGCAAGGATATAGAAGAGCAGGATCACTCACACATTGCTGATGGGAATGTAATTAAAATATTTTAATCACTTTGGAAAACAGTTTTGCAGTTTCTTAAAAAGCTAAACATGCAACTACCATGAAACCCAGCAATTTCACTCCTGGGCATTTATCCCAGAGAAATTAAGACTTGTGTTTACATAGAAACTTGTACACAAATGTTTATGGTAGCTTTATTTGTAACATCCCAAAACTAGAACCAACTTAATATGCCCTTCTACAGGTGAATGGTTGAATGAACTGTGGTATATCCACATTATGGAGTACTACTGAGCAATAAAAAAGGATGAACTATTGATATATGCAACAACCTGAATGAATCTCCAGAGTCTTACGCTGAGTAAAAAACGCCAGTCCCCAAAATGGAATACTATATTATTCCATTTTTATAATATTTTTGAAATGGCAAAATTATAGAAATGGACAACAGATTAGCGGTTGCCAGGAGTGATGGGTTGGAGGAGGCAGAGAAGTGGGTGTGGCTACAAAGGGCAACCTGAGGAAACCTTGTGGTGATGGAGATGTTCTGTATTTTGACTCATTCAATGTCAGTATCCTTGTTGTGATATTGTGATATAATTTTGTAATAATTTACCATTAGGGGAAACAGTAAAAGGTAAATAGTATATTTCTGTATTACTTCATATGCTGAAAATCATTCTGAAGTTTATCAAGATACTTAGGCATGTTAAGGAAGAGTATGGCATGACACTGAAGCCATTAATCAGGAGTTTTGAAAAATATACACTTCTTTTTTTTTTTTGTTTATTATCATAAGGCCTATGTGTGATTATCTTTCCCTTTTGGTTTCTACATGTGAAGGTAAAAGTGAGATATTGGAGAGAATCCTGAGGAAGTAACTTAAAATGATAAAAAACTTTAATGTGACATGATGTATTGAGTAGGTAGGGTAAAGGAATGAGGACTGTCTGGCCTAGTTGGTGTGACTATTTCTAGTATTTGAAAAGTTGTTTAAATGAATGCGCACATTAGTCCTTTAACCTCAATACCACTACCTCACTCTTGTCCATGAAGTCCAGCTCAATTTCTGCCTCAGTTCTTGGCTATGAAGTTCTTGGCTATCTCAATCCCTACTCATCTCTGCCTCCTAGGAATTAATAGATTTTGATTACTGAGATTACTTTTATACAAAGTAACTTCAATTATATATCTAATTTAGTGTTTCCTACAGAAATCGGTTTCACCAATGGGCATTTCTATGGGTGTTCATATTGTCTTAACATCATTGTGAAACTCTTCTATGGGAAGTTTATGTTAAATGCCCTCTCAGGTATCTTATCTGCTTCTTGGTTCTCCAAATTCCATTATTTCATGGTGTGGCATTTACTTCTAAAAGGTGATATTTGCTTTTTTACCTACTACTTGTTTCCCTCAAGAGGACAATAACCCTCGTGGGGCAGCAATGAGTATCATGAGTGACTACGGTATGTATTCAATCAATATTTGTTGACTGAATGAACCCACTACTAAACATTTCCATAAAAGATAGAACTTTGACAAATGATCTTAAGCTATAGTAGAAGAGAATTAGGTTGAATTAATTGAGAAAATGGCATGTCAAGCTCTTAAACACAAGATGTGAGTGGTGGTCATAGACTCTTCACCACTAGTCATTTCATGAATACCAGAGAGCAGCCATCTGTCCGATATATGTGTGGTCCTGCCTGGAAGAAGAAGATCAGCTCACTGTGACCCAGTGAGTTCCTGTTTGGTTGTTTGATTCTAGATTTACAGGATTCTTGGCTTGATTTTCCAAGAAAAAGAAAACTGTGTGCCTTTTCCATTTAAATTTCACCTACTGTGAAATTAGCCATGACCATCTTTTGCAAGTAAACTCCTATGTAGATAGTAGATTCTGGAGTGATACTGGCCTCCTTTATTTGGCAACTGTGTTCCCATCCTTAATGTGTTTTTAACTCATGCATGATGTCTGAGTAGGTTTGAATGAAACCGTATTTATGTCCTCTGTTCTATATAGCAAAACAGATTATTGTGTTGTTATACAGATATGCTGTGGGTGGAATGCCAATTCTTAGGACCCTACAAAGCCCTGTCCATTTTCCTGAGACATTGTGAGAGATGTGAATGACATTCAAAGAGCGTTTTTTGAATCTCTTGTGTTGGATTTTGCATGTGCTTCACCCACCTGATTGTTTTGTGTAAGATACTGTTGGGCTGTTCCATATGAAAATTGACACCATGTCAATTAATTTCACAGGGAAACGAACCTTAAAGTCCGCCATGCTTTATCAGTTACCTCAGAGCTTGGAGCAGATATTAGCAGACTTGCAGAGTTTGATGGTAAGTGTTTAAAATAGACAAACAAACAAAAATCTCAAAACCGAAAAGCTTTTATAGCAAAAAAAGTAACAAACTAATTATTTGGAAAAATTTATGGTTTTTTTGTTTTGTTTTGTTTTGTTTTTTTCATTTGGTGGAAGGACATAAAATTCTCCAGGCATCCAAGCCTATATCTCTTCTCACGCTAAAGAGTAAAAATGATTACCAAGGGGAGAATGACTTCATCAGTTCATTGTTCATTTCATTCTTGTTTCCTCTTCTCTACCTCTTGTTCCCTCTTGTCCCACAATCCTCTTCACTTGCCTGACCTTGGCCTCCCTGGAGTCCTATGAAGACTTGCAGAATCACCCTTGAAGGATGGTTATGGGCCATGCATTTCTAGCTCTAGGTCTAACCATCCACTCATTCTGTGGCTCCATAATAAAGAACAAGCACTAGACTGCAAACTTCATGAAGACAGTAATCCTACCTTATGTATGTATATATTTTGCATAGTGCCTTATAGCGCATGTCTTAATGATAGCAGGTGTTCAGGAAGGCTCTTCTGATTTATTACTCAGTAGGTCAGCTGTTGCCCTTCTAGATCATGGTTTTGTTATCAACATCTTCACACCATTCCACCCAGTCCACTGCTCCTCAGCATGGTCTCATCTGCCTGTTATGTTCCAGCTGTTTTGTTCTTTTTTGTGAAAGCCGTCACAGAGAAACAAAATCCTTTAAGAGCTGAAAGAAAGAGCCATAAATGATAGAACTATAGGCACCACGACAAGCTGTAGGAGAATATTTATGGCTTTCTTGCTACCACTTAATGGTCTTTTGCTTTACACACTTGTATGCTAGGCCTTGCATATCATTATTTCCATACAGGTTGATTTTATTTATTAATGAATCTTGATGAGTTTGACACTATCTTCCAAAATGTTTTCCTTACAGTCCACTAAATGAAAATGTGGACAAGGGTCTTAGCATGATTCTATGAGTTAAAGCACAGGCAAATTTACATTAGAAAGTTTTACACTACAGTGGAACAGCTTAGAGCCTATAGTGTCTATGCTTTGCATTTACTTGTAAACTCCATCTGGATTCTGTTAATATTTTAATCTCTGCTAAAAAAAGTTCTATTATAAAAAATGTTTACAGAAAAAAAATATTCCTCCAGTTTGAGATTTAAGACAGGGGAATAGCCAGGAAACTTTGAATTGCTCAAGAAATATTTTGATTAGATTAGAACAAATTACAAATTTTCTACCAAGTAATTTTTCAATGAAATTTCATTATATGAATTGAAAAAAAGTAAGCTGTGTTTGTGAATTAAACTACTTGCTTAAAATACTTCACAGTATGTTTATGAAGTCCTGAAAGGGCAACCTAAATATAATTTCTCATTACTCATTTCTTTCTTGCCAGAATTGTACCTTTATGCCTCTGTCAATCTATGAGGAGGTAAAAATTGATGATTTTTAGTTTTTTTTATCATCAAAAAACAGAAAATGAAAGTTATAATTACCCAGTTCACTTTCTTTCCTAGATATCAATGAAAATAGCCTATACTATGATTCAGTTACAGGCAACCCTCAAATCTTAGTGGCATAAAAAGTAAAATTTATTTCTTGCTCATGGGACATTCTGATGTAGGTTGGGTGGCCTTCTCTATCTTGTAGCCGTGGTGCCTAGACTTATGGCCCCTAAGGTCAGCATATCAGAATAAGGATAAGATGAAAGAGGCATACTAACTTTCAACTGCTTTTTCCTCTCACATTTCATTGGCCAGCGTGAATCACATGGGTCTGACCTAACAGCAAGGGAGCCTGGGAAATAACAAATATGGATATTTGTTGAGTGCTAACTGTCTCTACCACCCTCCAAGGTCAGTGCCAGGATAGTGGATAAAGGTCCAGGCTGGATTAAGTGGATTTCTTACATGGAACCCCAGGAATGGGGCCAAGAGTCTTCCTTCTCAGCATGAGTCTTTATCTCTCAATCCCAACTACTCTGTTTAACTTTTCCTTTTTCTCATAACACTTATCACCATCTGACGTGCTGTATAACTTACTTTTTTTAAAGTTTATGATTTATTGTCCATCTCTACTGCTGCAGTGTAAGCTGCACAGGAATCTTTGTTTCACTGACTGAGATATACCTAGTTCCTAGAACAATGCCTAGTGCATACATGCTAGGTGCTCAATAAGTACTTGCTGAATGCATGAATAAATGGTCCCAAGTGCCAAAGAGTGGTGGGCAGGATCACCATCAAGTCCCAGAAAGACATAGGAGGGTAAAGGAAGGGCCTAAGGTAAAGAGATTGAGAGTGGAGTGTGAACAGGTGTGGTGCGGGATGGCTTCCTGATGAGGCCTCGTAGGACAAACCTAGAGAGGTGGGTCCCCTTCTCCGGGAGGCAGGTGGCTGGAAGAAGGATCATCTGGTGTGGTGGTTTTATAATGCCTTTACTTCAAAACCTTTCTCCAAACATAATTTAACTCAAGATATCCCAAATTTTAACCAACACAAGTGATGTTGCTTAAGCTGAAGGAAAATACCACTTTCTCATATAAAATAATTTCTTTTTTTACAGATGAGATATCCTGAAAGGTTAAAGGACTTACTTATATATAAACATCTCTTTTAATACTTCACAAAATATGTTTTTCAAGTGCAGTAATAATCATTACTTATTAGATGTGGCCTGAATTTACTTCACACAACATAAGTATCTCACCAAATCTGTAACGTATAATTGTTTTCAAATAAAGGCAACACAGACCCTTCTTTTCTATAATTTAGACTGTAACTGTGGTAATTTTTCAGAGAACATGTAATGCCAAATGCATGAGGCTGGTACACTTCTGGGTTAAGAGCCAGGTTTCTGCTAATTTTACTCTTTCATTCTTAAATCTTGGGTTGAATTTCAATCTACCTTAAAATTCAAGACAATATGATGTTTTATAGGGTTAGCCTGTTAGAATATGATTTTATTTTGTTTTCAAGAATGCATCTGAAGAATGAATAGAGGCATTAAGGGGAAATAAATTAGATATAATATACAAATTGGATTTCCTCTGTTAGCGGCCAAATTTAAAGACCTGAGGGTGACACAAGATGTGGCATGAAAAGTTTTGGAAAGAGTTGGGCCCTTAACAACTGCTAAATCCTTCCCACGATTACTCTTGCACTCTTATAGCCTTCAACTTTTCCTTCTTTTTTCTAAGCCCTAGTTTACATGTTTTAATTTCAGTCTCTCCCTGCCTCTCTGACATACACGTTGACACATACTGTACACGATGCACACACATTTCTCTACTCCATTTCGCCAGTTCTCTTTCCCTTCCTCCTTTTTTTCATTCTTTCTTACTATTCTCTTTTCATTTTCCTCTTCCACTCTTATTTTCTCTGCCTGCATTGCCTCTTTTTCCATTTTTTTAATCTTTTCTGTTTGTCATCATACCATATTAGTTTCTTAAGTCTGCTTATTAAGCACCTCCTAAGCACAAGATGCAATATGACGTATGTAGAATTATAAAATATGTCCACATGTATTATCCAGTTTCTTTTGATCCATTTACTCCCCCATTCTTTTCCTAGCTTGTCTTTTTTGTCTCCTCTACTCACCTTTGCCATAACAGAGTATCAGTAGATATCAGGGTTTCCTTTGGTGACTAGAAAAAGACTTCCTGAGTCATGGGAATCAAAACCAGATATTGCATTCTTTTGTTTAAATTAAAAATATGATATCAGCATTGTGTACATTTGGAAATGGCCTGCCTAGCTATGACAAGGTCATGTAGATGAGACAGACATGTGAGGCGTGCCTGTCTGGGCTAAGTATATCTTTAGCTTGTGACTTCTGGGCAAATCTGAGTATGGCATTATTTTTGCTTCTAGTTACTGTGTGGTTTTTCCTCTGAGACTTGCCAAAAATACTTTCTCTAGCACCAAACTACAGTGTTCTGTCCTTGTATCCTAAGTTCATATCTTCCAAGTATCTGAAGACTTGAGTGTCCCACTCCTATCTACAGAGAAATCCCCACTGAAAACTCCAAACTGGGGACACCAGGGGTCAAAACTGAGAATGGGTAGGGCCTCAGGATATCTCTCATAAGTATCTCTGCCTCCCCGTTTTTGCAATTAAACCGGACAGTATCTTGCTAGTGGCCTCCATAGGCATGACATGATGGTTTATTCATTCTTTTCTTTCAGTCATTACTCAGTTCCCTGTTGGTCCACTTAGTAAATAAATCTTTCTAAAAATATTTTTATTAAAATATAGCTAACATACAATATTATATTAGTTTTGGGTGTACACCATAGTTATTCAACATTTATATACCTAAGGGATCACCCTGATAAGTCCAGCAACCATCTGACACTACTATGCTATCACAATACTATTGACTATATTCCCTATGTTGTACATTACATCACCATGACTTATTTGCTTCACAGTTGGAAATCGGAAGCTTCCATTCCCCTTCACTTTTACCCCCCCTTTTAAAAAATTTTCAATTGCAGTTGACATTCAATATTATTTTATATTAGTTTCAGGTGTACAGCATAGTGGTTAGACATTTATATAAATTACAAAGTGATCCCCCTGACTAGTCTAATACCCACCTGGCAGTAGACAAAGTTATTACCATATTATTGACTATGTTCCCTATGTTTTACTTTATACTCCTATGACTTTTTCGTAACTACCAATTTGTACTTAATTGCTCTACTTGTTTCACCCCGCACCTGACCCCCTACCATCTAGTAACCTACTGTTTGGTCTCTGTATCTATGAGTTTGGTGCTGTTTTGTTTGTTCGTTTATTTTGTTCTTTAGATTCCACTTATAAGTGAAATCATGTGACATTTGTCTTTCTCTGTCTGACTTATTTCACTTAGCATAATACCCTTTATATCCATCCCTGTTTTCACAAATGATAAGAATGCATTCTTTTTTTTTTTTTTTTTTTTGGGCAGTGTAACTGGCCCTCATATGTGGGATCCAAACTGGGGCC